CTATAATTATCGAGGTTGAATTGACCCTTTCCCCTTTTATTCCGTTTGGACGATCTCCCTCAATTGCTGCTTAGCTGGAAGACCTTTATCCAAGTAATAATGACCTGTGCCAACATCATTTTCAGCCAGTTAATGCTCCACTGCACGAGGGGAGGGGGCAGGAGGCAAAACCAAGAGATTTAACCCCAAAAGTCTGAGTGGAAAGTTGTTCCCCCCTTTCCTGCGCTGCTCTAAATGATAAAAATCCCCACCAAAGCGGGGAGAAAAGGGACAGAAATTTTGTGCCTCCATGGGGAAGCATCAGGGGATTAAATCCCTACACAGAGGCAGGTTTTGGACTAGTTAAGCCAGACTTTCCCCAGCAACTGAAGACAACCAGCAGCAAACACAAGCTCCAAGCCCTGGTGCCAGGTCCAGCAGATTTCACTTTGCATCACATCTCTTTCCTCTTGTTCTCCTCAAAGACCACACAGATATTACAAAATTAGGTCCCTTTCCAACAATATTTAGATTTTCTAAACATCGTGAAGCATTTTGCCTCTAAAGCAACAGATTAATCACCTCAGATTTTGCCATATAACAGACTAATCACCTCAAATTTTGCCATAAAAGTCCATTTTTTATTGGCAATAAATAAGTGGTTTGGGCCCATATCCTCCCTAATTTGATAGATGTATGGAAAAGCAGGTATTTCTGTGACTCCCTAAATGAGATTTAATTTCAATACCTACACATTAATTCAAATGCAAAGGAGCTAAATTGAAAAGAGGCATCATATAAAACACACAGGGGATCAATACACAGCCAGATCCATGGAACATCTGCTTATAAAAATGTCTGGATAATCTCTGTTTTATTTAAAGTGCATCATCTCACCTCCATAACTTTTGAGAAAGATGGAATTAAACTTGCCCAGATGGACTTATGAGAAAAACATAATATACCTAATCATCTGCACAGAAAAGAGAAATGAGAAAATGGCATTGATATGGTCTCTAACTTCATAGTTTGGGAAATTACGGCCTAAATCAGTCAGGTCACGTGTAGGAAGAGCTTCACTGCTGACAGAGCAGGAACATAAAATGGGCACAGACCTCTTGTGAGGCTGAGTCAAATCCTCTGCAATCACAGGGAAAACTTGCCACTAAATAAGCACAAATGACATTTTCTTAGCTATGCTTTACACTCATGATCTGCTCACCCGTGGCCGGTGTCACCTCCCTGCAAGACGGTGCCGACAGGGTGAGGAGCAGAGGGTTGGGGGGACAAAGCCTTTCAAAATACAAGAGATTGAAATGAACAAAAAAAAAAAACCCTCTGGAATAATCAGAAAAAAATCCAACCAAAGTATTAAAGGCAAAATCTGATCTGCAAACCCTTCTCCAGCACCACACCAAGGGCTGGGGTGGTGTTTGAGGAGCGACTGCATTAACAGGAGTTGCTCCCTGCTCCGTCTGCTCCAAGTGCTGGGCAAACATTAATTAGGGCCAGAAATGCAAAGTGCTGCAGAACTGACCGAAATATAAATTAATTAATTACGGGGGCTGCAACAGATTAATCATTTTGCAGCTGCCCAGTAACATCAAAGCACCAGCCGCGGGAACTACACAGCTCCAGGAAAAGAAACGCTGAACAAATTGAACTGTTTAGAGAAGACCAACATTTATTATGTACAACAGTCCTCCTGGCTTTAATTATTTATATTCAGACATGAAATGAGCTGAATTCCTTTAGTATGTAACCTACAGCTGCTTGGATAGAAGCAGGAATTCAAACAGCCCCGTGAATGCTCCTCTTTCTACGAGTTTGAGTTTGAATTTTTAACGGACTTGAATGCCTGATTTCAGTGGAATCTATTGACAGAAATTATGGGGATTTTTGTGCCTCAAAATGGAAAATATTTGACTATATATTGGACTTTTTGCCCATGAAGTTTTAGGTTTGATTCCCCTCCCCATTGCCCTAGGGTGGGGGTGAGGTGAGTGAGTGGCCTCATGGTGCTTAGTTAAGCCCAGCTTAAACCACACCCCTGTCAGAACATGAGGGGATCTTCATGGGTTAAATTCCCCTCTAAAATATGCATATGCACACTCAGACATTAATGTGTCTGTGTGACTGCAGCTCATTAACATGCAAAGATGACTCCAGCACTGAGACTCCCTGCTCCAGGAAGTTAATGAGGCAAAGGATGGCATAAAAGTCAGGAAAACACAGAAAATTTCCTTTCATACTTGTCCAGCACGTTCCAGGCACACAGACTATGTCACATCTTCATCAATGTGGTTGCTTGGGCTCATCCTGTGCAGTGGCTTTTGTTGCCATCCCTGTTCCCAGGCTGTACACAAATGATTTTTGGGATATGTGGGGCTGCCCGAGGGAGAGCATTTCTTAACGAGGTCACGACTAGAAGAGCTTTGTGTTACTTTCCACAGCCTGGCCCACCTCTCATCCTATCTCCAAAACTTAGAAATTATCAGCACCACAGCTGCTATTTAAGGAAGATGAGAGCCTGAACTAACCAGGGCAATTTGGCACCAAAGCATTAATTTGCAGCTACTGCTTCCCAGAGCTGACACCTGAAAACTTTTGAAAACTTAATCAGAACTCTGTAATTGATACACATCAAAGATCAAATCCAAAGAAAGCATCTGGAGTTTTTAGCTGTACAACCTCAAAACAACAAGGAAAAACAGTCTGACAAATGTGGTCCCAGCTGGGGTGAGGGACTGAAAGGGGGTGCTGGCTCAGAAACACCGTTAGTGGTGCTGCTGCCCATTCCAGGGAGGTGGGAGAGCTCCCAGAATTATTGGCAGTTTTGCACCTCTACGAGCTGGCATTGATCTAAGGTTCTATCCAAGTGTTTTATCCAGCTGTGCAGAGCTGTAATATCTGCACAGCCAGTACACAAAATCGATGGCAACATCCCCTGTGGAGTGGGAGCAGCTCTGGCACGTCCCTCCTCTCCGGGAGCGTTGGCAGTGGTGGATAGCTGGCACCCTAAAGAGCCCAAGTAGTGATGGGACTGGTGGCAGCTGGAGCCCACCAGTTGTCCCTGAAGGGGCAGAGGGGTCACTGTTTCACAGGGATGGTGGGACCACTCACTTCCACAGGGCTTTGTCAGGGCAACACCCCAAAAAACTCGTCCTTCACCAGCTGTGCTGCCCTTTGCAGCAGAGACAAAGAGTGCTATCTGTGTGCCTGACACTGGTTAGAACCAAACAAAGGCATTCAGTTTTCAGATTGAACCTTCTTTTCTCAGGTAACTCAATACTTTAACTTCCTAGTCTTTTAAGGATCCACTAAGCACTATAAAGATTTGCCAGATAACTATCTGCACGCTATTTTAACCTTTTTTTCCCTTTGCATAGTTCAAGTATTAATATTCTTTTCACAAACGTTCATCAGCATGAAAATATGAGTTTCCTCCTTAACCTGTGACTGTTCAGCAGCCAGATGTGTGTTAACATCCCACACAAAACACAGCTTGGGAAGCAGAGCAAGAGCATCCCCTGCTAACAGCACCCTGCCCAAAGCGAGAAGCGAAAGAAAACAACTTCCTCACTCATCACCAAAAACTTGCACAAAACTTTTGGCACTTCTTTCCCCATAAATCCCCCTCAGCAGGACAGAGAATCTGAAGCCTGAAGATACTCAATGCTCAGAGGAGAAAAAAAAAAGCTGTTGCTGAATGGTGTGGGAAAAGCCAGTGCTGATGAGATGCATTTTTATCAATAACAGATGTAAAAGATAAGGACAAGCCCTCCCCCACCCCCCAACACATTCTCCTGCAACTTCATTTTGCTGACCCTGGCCATTTTGCAATAAATAAGTCCAGAAATTATAATAAAATTCTTTTTCACGCTTTTGTTTTCCCACTATTTTGTTTATTTGCTTGAAATAAAGGCTCAGAGTCGACGCATTCCCACAGCTTGACTTCCCTAAGGTTGCAGTTCCTGAAACACGTGTGGGCTCTGCACTGCAGAATCTCTCTGCATCCAATTTTCTGCCAGCTCACAAACTGTCAAAGCACATTTAGAAAGACTTGGAACCAAATTTCTAAAATAGGTACCCCTAAGTACCGGAATAAAAGTGGCTTTATGTTCAGTGGAGCTCAGCAGAAGAAAGTAAACACAATTCTAAGTAGTTTGCTATTACCTAAAATGCTGAAAAAGTACCCTGACAGTGAGCACAAATAAAGGGGAAAAAAGCAGAAGTCACTAAACAAAGCAGTGAAACACTCTGAGCAAGCAGCAGATAAATTAGAGCAATCCAGGTGATACAAAAAGTAATTAAAACTTTAAACCTTCTCTCAGAACAAAATACATGTTCAAGTATAATAATGCCTCTTTAAGGAGGAAATCAAGGATAAGTGAACAGCAAGGAGGGAAAGACTCAAAACAGCCTTTGACAGCTTGGCATGGTCCAGATAGTTCCCTACAACCAATTCCTTGCCCATGTCAAGGTCAAAAGGGCTTTGGAACAACCCTCTGCAAATCCAAAATGTTCTTCGAGAACTGTTCCAGCTCCAGGAAAAAGGCACATTCCTCAGAGTCTTCTCTTCTCCGGGAATGCTCCAAACATTGCAACTCTCAGGGCTGAAAAGGTTAAACAAGGGCAGTTCCAGAAGATGGTTCTCCTGCTGAAATATGTTATTCTAATTATTTGTTAAATGGAGCGGGGGCTGAGCTGCAACACAACACCATTTTAATGGGATTTAAAGCCACACTCCACAAAGGTTTAATTGAGCAGTGAAACACTTAACAGAGAACACGGGAAAACAACTTCCATCAACTGCAACTTCCAAGTGGAAAGGGGCAGAGCATGAATGTACTTGGGATGAGAGACCGATCACCAGGAGAAGGAGCATCAGCTTGATACATTCAGCCTATTCCACAACACTGGCTGTGAAACAGGGCCTCATTTTGCCATTTTAACCCTGGCATGCACATCCCACCAGCGTGAAATGCGCTGGTGATCCTAAATCTGACGTTTAAACTCACCTGCAAGGCACACCACGACCGACTGCAGCACCAGCAGCTCCCAGAGCAACCTCATCTTCAGCTACCCAGCTCAGAGGAGACCAACCCACTGATTCCAGCAGAGAATGGGGCTCCTTGGAAATTTTAGGCCACCTTCAGTCTGCAAGAGAAAAGAGAAATTCCCAGGAGAGTTAAGATTGCTGCTTCTTCCGTTCGCTCCCAGTTTGGTTTTCCTTTCCAGGAAAGGTGCAAGTGAAATCAGCAAAGAAACATTTCCCAATATTTCATTTAAAATCAATCAGAGGAGTGATTTGTGACCATCCCAAGTCGTCTGGGTGCCAGGGGAGGGTTAAGAATTGGAACCCATGTCTGCATCTTCTGCTTGGGTGTTCTGAGATTTCTCGTGCCTCTCAATTTTGCAATCAGCAGATTTACTCCCTGCCTCTCTGGGGCAATCTGGTGTAATTAGTGAGCTCTGTAGATCAAGTTAAGAGAAAAATTAGAGTAATTCTCTAACTTTATGAGAATTATTCCAGTTTTTCTCTACAAACATCATCTAACACGTGAAGGGCACCGTCTCTGCAAGGCAACACTTTGCAGGAAATGTTCCCACACTGCTCAGGGAAGGGAGATGTTTGTCCCATCTCACCCCCACCCTCACTGCTCTAAAATTCTTTTTAAAAAACATCCTAAAAAACATCTCCAGGTAAAAACTGATCTTTTCCTCTCACTCTATCACAACTTATAAATAGAATTTGTAAGCAGACAATTTGAGACCTTCCCTGCAAAGTACCCCCATCCCCCTCCCAGCAACCCAGGGGGGGTGGAAAAAAAAACAAAAACAAACCTTCTTTTATGAAAGGAACCTTTTCCAGAGCAGGTATTTAAATATTAAAAATAAATAAATCAAGTCAGACACACATTCTTATAATTTATTCATCTCACTGAAGGCTGGAAGTTAAGGGGCCTTTGTGCTTACAAGACAAACTGCTCGACTAATACCATGTGAAGGGGTATCATGAGAGGGCTCTGCCTGCTTTTGTGAGTTAAAATTGGTGAGATTCTCCTAATAAAGTCAGGTTCAATGCACTGACAAGACTAAGAATCTGATCTGAAGGTGCAGCTTTGAAAGGGGTAGAGATTAATTGCACATATTCATCTGTTCTCACACAGACTGATGAGGCTTGCTGGGGGTCAGCAGGAAGGACCAATCAATGAAAACTAATAACTTAAGGGAATGATTAGAGGATTAATTATTAATTTGGGGAGGAAAATGTCATCCCAGACCTTCCTGCTGATTGACATAGTTCAGCAGTTACACTCTGTGAACTCATTAAATGTATTTTTCTATCCCATGTAATGGACAAATCCCGTTTTTTCCTCCAAGTACCAAATTCACAGAATCATTTAGGTTGGAAAAGACCTCTAAAATCACAGAGTCCCACCAAATTCTATTGGTTATAACAGCACCTCCACAAGAGATTTCTACCAAAGGAAGTTGCTCTGGGTTCTACACCAGCTGAAGGGAAATTTGAGATAAATCCTGTATTCACCAGCAGCTGCTGAAATTCTTCCCTGTTCTCATTTTCCCACGAATTATCCCCATCAATAAACCCATGTGTCACTTCTAAAGCTCTTCTTCATTACCCTGCAAGGAGATACTTTACAATTATTCCCCTCACTCTCTGCAATGAGCTGCTGAAACAGAGCAATCACTCAGAGCCTTTGATACCTAATTAAAAACACAAGAGGTAGAGCACTTATCAACTTAACCTACTGCCAGGAGCCCATGGAAAGCACCCTCAGACTGGTCTGTGAGCTGCCAGTGTGCCACAGGGCTCACCAAAATCACCCCTGCGGATCAATAGCACAACACAGCTCTCCGTCTGCAGGCAAGAAACTATTATATTTGATTTTTGGTTAAAAAACCCAAACATATAAACCTCCTGATCCAAGTCAAGCAAAATCCCTCTATTTATTCTATGAGCTTTGAGGATGGTGCTTCCAGAGACTTGGGGATGAAGCATAAAAATCTTTGAATCACCAAATGGTTTGGGTTGGAAGGGACCTCAAAGCCCACCCAGTGCCACCCCCTGCCATGGGCAGGGACACCTTCCACCAGCCCAGGGTGCTCCAAGCCCCATCCAACCTGGCCTTGGACACTCCCAGGGATCCAGAGGCAGCCACAGCTTCTCTGGGCAAGAAATATATACCCATCTTCAGAACTCAGCACACTGAAATCCAGTGAAAACGCTCATTTATTTAGGTATCCAACAATTACTCCAGAGAACCAGCAGCCACTGGATGGTCATGCACATGCTTCAAAGAAAAAATTCCAGCTACCTGCGGTCTGACACAGGCCAATACGTCAGAGAAAGTTTTCCCAGAGGGAAACAAAGCCTGTGATAGCATAAAAAGCAGTGAAAAGTAAATTAGATGATTGCCATTAAAAATATTTTCCTTAAAATAAGGTGGTTTTCAAGCCCTGGCTGCATTTCCATTTCTCAGGATGGCTCCTATTTCACATGTGAATGAGTCCAATTCTCAGGAAGTTTTCCTGTAAACATCACTGCTAGTCATGTCAGCGGGGCCTTTGTTCAGAGCTGTAAAAACTGTTCAAACACATTGACTTTTTATGGCAATGACTTCGGGAAAGGCAACATTTGTGCACGAGCAAAAGATGGAATAATTGAAAAGATCCTTCCCATCCCTGAATGTTTTTCTGCCTATAAAATCTCAGGGGAGTTTGTGCTGCTTCTGAAGGAGAATATGAGGCCTGAAAACTTGCAAAGTTTAGCATTTTATTTCCAGAAGGAAGCGCAGACAGTTTCAGCACTACACAAGCTATTTTTCCGAGATGAAAATGAGATTGCTGTGCTTCAGTTTGGAAGTGCAGCCCATTAGAAAACCCAGTGCCAACACACATGTGCAGATGCCTTTTTAGCTTCCCTTTTGGCAGTGCAGCCATTGCAAGTTCTTTTGAAAGGCACCTTTGTTCCTAATTGGATTCTGGTGAAAAAAACTTGACTCTCAGAGCTCTGACTGCAGTTGGGTGGGAGGGAGAAAAATGTGTGTAGCAGAAATATCTGTGGTGATTTTTTCTGAGTTAGTGGGCATGGCTCTGTCAGTAATTTCACTGGGGTGTTTAATGATTAGTAATTCTGAAAAAAAACCCCAAACCCAAAATAGAAATTAAAATCCTAAGCTAAGGTACGTGGATGCATTCAGAACTTGAAAAATGCTCTGTAGATAAATTTGCATTCTGTGAACTCACAATTTAGTGAATATTCTGAAGGAAAATTTGCAAAACACGCTTAAGACCCCCAAGCATTGCAGCAGCAAGAAAGAAGCCTCAGGAATCCCGTCCCCTTCTCCTGCTGCAGGTTGGTGTGCTGCAGAGTGCCACTTCCACTCAGCTCCCAAATAAATCACTGCTAATGAAGCATGCTGCACATCCAGACAGCAACAGGCATCTTTTAATCACCTCAGCCAAGGAAGAGCTCAGGGTGAGCACAGAACACTCAGCACTAATGGGGGAGTCAGGAGATTTAAGGTGGTGCCGACCCCGAGGCTGCCACAGGTGTGACCCGAGGGCAAGAGCAAACACCTGAGGGGAATTCACTGCCTTCCTCAACACTGATGTTAATTCCTGGGGCCTAAAAAAACCTCCCAAAGAACTACCAAGCTTTTTAAACAGGAGGACAGAAGCATAAAAATCATCTTCAGGCTTAGAAGGGAGAGCAGAGCTTTGGGTTATGCAGAACGTGTGGTTGTTCAGCTGCTGAGAGCACAAAAACAAGAGCTTGGAAAAGACCTCCAAGATCATCGAGTCAAACCTTTGACTCATCCCCACCTTGTCACCCAGACCAGAGCACGGAGTGCCACCAGCTGTTTGGGTGTTTAAGGAAAAGGGCATGTGGCAAATGCAGGCAGGAACACCTACACTGGAGGCATTTTGCAGGTCGAGTCTAAAAATGCTTGACCCCAGCCAAAACCTGAGCACAAAAGTTTTATGTAAACTTAAATTCCACTCATCTACACAAGAAAATAATAATAAAAAAAAAAGGTAGAAAAGAAGCCACAGTCCAACCTTTGACTGATACCACCACACCCACCAACCATATCACGAAGTGCCCCATCTGCTCAGTTTTTGAACATTTCCAGGGATGGTGACCCCACCACCTCCCTGGGCAGCCTGTTCCAGTGCTTCACCACTCTTCTAGTGAAGAAATTTTTCCTGATATCCAACCTGAACCTCTCCTGGTGCAACTTGAGGCCGTTTCCCCTTGTCCTGTCACTCATTACCTAAGACAAAAGGCCCACCCACAGTAACAACACAAAAAGATGTCTGAAAAGCTACACCAAAACACTGTTATCCATTCCCACCTCTCCAAACACAACCCACTCCTGATGTTCCTAGAAACAGGGCGTGTTTTGCTTCCAGAAACGCCAATATTTGGAAAAGGGATGGAGAGAATTCCAAACCCTGGGATTCTCCAGTCCTGTTGTTGCTGGTTGCAAGGTGAGGTCATTCCCCACCTGATTCAAAAACTGGAGTAAGGATCACCTCGAGCCTCTGGGAACTGGAAGCCACTCAGACTGATGCACTGAATTGGAGCACAAAGCCAGCTTGAATAAATGAAGGCTAAAGAAGCTGTTCAGCTTCAGTCAGGGGGAAAAGCATCGTGGTTTCTTGTCATGTAACAGGCAAACAAGGTGTTATTTTTTTCCCCCTAAATCAAAGAAAATCGCTTGATCTGTGAAAGTGCTATTCCAGAGGAGCAGCACCCCAGGCATGGGCAGCTCCCACCTCCTCAACACCGGTCGTGGCCCAGATTCAGCAAAATCTCAGATTTCTAACCCAGATCCAGCTCTGAATACTCTGCTGAATCCAGGCCTGTGTGCTGGGAGAGGCACAGACCCCCTTTAGCAGACGGAGCCAGTGACCTGCAAAGCTGAACCTCCAAAAATAGAAGGTGCCCAAAAGATGTGGCCCCCAAAGTGCAAACCCTCCCAGCAATACTTTTTTTTTGATGTGCACATTGCTGAGGTTTTTCAGCACTCAAAAGAAAGGGTTTGCCTTTTTTTGTTGTTGTGGGAGCTGGTGTTCTAAGTCCCAAGATAAATATTAGCCTTCCTTTTTGTGTAAGGAGGAGAAAA